TTCTGAATTTTGCATCGGGGTCATCTCTAGCTATAGATTTTTTTCGAATTTCTTTATTTTGGTGGTATTAGTAATTTGTAAGGCATCCTTGTATTTTAGACTCTAAGGTGTTAAGAGCCCATGTTGAGGGTTGTGTGGAGGGCTTCCTTGTCTATTCTTGTTTGATTGGGGCTTGGAAGTCTGAGACAGGGACCAAAATCCTGGTAGGGTTAGTTAAGTATTGTTATTTCGATGTATGTTATGTTAGGATGGGAGTGCAGTTATTAGTCAGCAGATCGAGGGTAAGCCCAAGTGATGTTAGTGGTTAGCGGATCAGGGGTAAGCCCAAGTGTTATCAGTGGATAACAGAGTAGGGTTGTTAAAACCAAGTAGGATCATGGTCTCCTTTAGTATGTAATCATTGGGTTTCCTTGCATTGGTGCATTTACATGCAGGGTTAGCATAAACCAACATTCCAGATTTCATTGCTTAAAAGGACGGTGTATAGCCGAGGAGGTCTGAGACTGATCAAATCTGCGGATTTTGTTCAACATAGTTGAGGTGAAGGTTAGTTAGTCTCATCTGTTGAGTGTTGCTAAGACGTTCGTTGGTACGATGGTTACATTGGTTGATGTTTCCTTCTTCAGATATTCGTTGGGAGGCGCAAGTCAGGAGTTCTTGGTCGAACTAGGTCTACGAGTATTGGTCAGCATGGGTGACAGTTGGGGTGGCTCTGTCTACCTTAAGGTTGTATATGAATTTGGTGTCTGCATGTCATGGACAAAGAAGTGGATTCTTCTCCTACAAATTAAGGATGTTGTATGGAGTATAGTTTTTCATTAGGTGATTTGTTTCTCGTTAAAGTCTGTAAAGGTGTTGGGAGGTATATGACTGTTCAATAGATGTTGCAGTAGATGTGATTCGGACTACTAGAATCTCTACTCGAATTGGCTTGTGAGCCTAGTTTTAGGAGCTTGGAGGAAGGTGGTTTTAGGTATTGATGCTCAAGTGGTCGCATCTCGTATGTAAGGAATCGAGTTTGAAGGACCTAGAAGGTGTTACTTTAGGAGTGAAAGCGAGAAATAATTTCGCGAACGAAATCTAATTTAAGTGAATGAGAATTGTAACACCTAGTTTCCAAAACAGATCGGTTTAGGGCATCAAGGAGTCAAAGGCATGACTTTTAGGGAAAATAGGTGTTAGGATGTGACCATAAAGAGGTCACGATGTGGCATGTGTAAATGAGAATCATGACGTGACATTGTAAGGATCACGTCGTGAGGTTCGTTGCAGTCCAAGCCCATGGTTTTTTAGGGTTTTCTCCATATTTAAGGAACTTATCTCATAACCTAGGGTATCTTCTTCAGCCTCTATTCAATTCTAACAAAACCCTAGCCCCATCCTTGAGTTCTTGAGAATTTGGTGGTGTATTGGAGACTTGAAGGTGAAGGAAATGTCTTTGGAGCATAGGAGCAGCTTGCAAGCCTCAATACCATCTTTTAGGAACATCTCTGGACCCTTGTAAGTAATCAAGTTTCAAGATTTGTGGATCCTTATTTCTAGATCTTGAGTTTTATGCATTATGGTTCATGATGAGATGTGTTAGAGTGTTGGGTTCTTATCCCTTGGTGGTTATATGTGGTATATCTGAAGTTTGTGTGATGATTGAGCTCATGCTTGAGGTTTTGACCTCCTTTACTTCATAATTGACCTAATTCAAGCCTAAGTCTTGCATTGGACTTGAAAGACCTTAAATCCTTGATTTTTATGGTTTTTGGGGTGTTAAGAAGCCTTCTGGAGGAGGTGGATTAGTGGCTTAATGGATTAAGGGATTTAATTCATCAAAATTTCTTCCAAACAGTTCTCATTATGTGAGATTATGCTTGTCACATCCTGAGAATTGATGGATCGCAACTATTTTTTCTTTTAGTGGTTCATGACGTGACCAATTGATCATCATGCTGTGAGGGTCAGTTGACTGTTGACTTTTTTTACCGTTGACTTTTTAATTTTGGGTCAAAATTTAAGGATTTGGGTTGATGATTAAGATTATTCCATGTTTTGGCGCTAAAGGGCTCGTAGGAGCAAGCAGTGCAGAAAGGGAAGTGTGTCACAATGTTCTGGGTTCTTCATTTCAGGTGAGTTTTCCTCACTGTACCCGTGGGTCGAAGGCACCAATAACGGCCCACTAGTTTTGGTTATCATTTAGTAGAGGGATGCTATAGGGGTTGTATGTAGTCGTGTAGGATAAACTGAGGACTCTTAGTCTAGCCTTTTTTGCTTGTTCCCTTTTTGGTTATGGCTCTGCAGTAAGATCATCTGTCCAGATGTCTATCTTACCTCTAGGTACATATGCTTATGCATTTCTTAGAGATTGGTTATATATCCTTATGTATAGGATGTTGATGTACTATAGTGATATGTTAGATATATTTATATCCATATCTGTTAGGATGCAATAGTAGTGGTATGCTAGTTAGAGTACCAGTAGGCTGGTTATCATCTAATAGCATGCCCTAGGGGTTGTATGTAGCCATGTAGGATATCATGAAAACTCTTGATCTAGGATTTTTTTCTTGTTCCTTTTTTGGTTGTGGCTTTAAAGTAGGATCATCTTTTCGAGTGGATATCTCATTTCTAGTTACTTATAGCTATGCATTCCATGGAGATTTGCTAGTAGCAAAGTAGTGTGATGTGAGGGACCTAGTAGGCGATGGTGAGATGCATATTTGGTAATTGCATCTATTTATGTTCCTACTCGATCCATGATTGTTTATATGTCGACATATTGTGGCGGATGAGATTGAGGTGGTTCTGTTGTGTGTTGTAGGCCAAGATACCAGGTGCGGGATGGTTATAAGTCATAGGCACGAAGACTTGGGAGGAGTTGTTGGGTTGAGGCAGCAAGCCAACAAAACCTAGGTAATCTAGTCAAGAGACTATGAGCCTGGGGTAAATGGTAATCCATTTCAATAACTGTGGACTCGATATGCATGTTTGTATGTTTGTTGTGTGGGGTATTTTGGGGGAAATCAGTAAGCTTCATGCTTACCCAGTGGTTATTGTTTTTCAGGTATCATCGGTTATCATTGACAGGCAATTCGTTAACGAGAAAGGTACCTGAAGCGACATCAACTTCATCTTTAGCGGCTTCCAGTGTCATCTGGAAGGCTCCCGCCTTCGGCTTTGGTAGAATGTTGGGTCTTGTTGCCTCCTTCTTTTTCGGACGGTCCCTAGACATGTGTCCCTCCTCACTACAATTATAGCAAACTTTCTTGGTGAGAGTGCATTCGTTGGCAAAATGCCCTGGCTTTCCACATCTGAAGCATGTGGCCACTACGTCACATTTTCTGTGATACTTCTTCTTACATTTGTCGCACCATTTCGCTTCGCCTCCACCTCCTCTCGAACTAGACTTCGAGAACTTGTTTTTCTTGTTGGACCCTGAAGGTCCATCGAACTTCCTCTTTTCACCAACCTCTATCCTTTCCAAACCCTTTTCCTTCTGCTGTCCCTCCACATTCTTAGCTGCTCAAACATTTGTTTTCAAAGTGGTTGCCATCTTAACTGTCGGACCAAAGTCAACAGGCAGTCCATTAGCGAACCTCTTAATCTTGGTGAGTTCCGTTGGCACTAGGTACGGAAATAACTTCATTTTCCCAGTGAATGCAGTAACATAGTCATCTACGCTCATTCTCCCCATCTTCAAGTTTTGGAACTCATTGTTCAGATCAATCAGATCTATCTCTGAACAGTACTGCACCCTTAGTTGTTCCAAGAACTCCTCCCATGATATTTTCAGGGCTTCTCCTCGTGGCATAGTATCCGCCAACAACTTCCATTAGCTCAAAACTCTGGTCTTCAGTTGTCTAACTGCAAAGACAGTCTTTCAGAGATGGATTGGAGATGGTCTAAGGAAAACATCAACACTTATAATTGTTATAATGGTTTGTTCCGCATTATGTGGGGTATGAAGGATTCCAGTGGATTATGAAGATGTTATTGCAGGTGGCTACTAGCGCCACTGGATGGAACAGGTTGGTGAGGTTTCTGTTGAACCTCCGATGAAGGTGTTTGGAGGTGATCTCACCGATTTTTTACGATAAGAAGCAATGATTTTGCGTATTTCGACGACTTTGTTATGAAACTAATAAAATTAAAAAACATTAGTTGTATACATCAGAAATAAACGAATAATGCAATAAAATAATATTTATTATATGAAAAAAATAATAAATTAAAAGTAATAGTTCAATAAATTAATAATTCAATAAAAAGAAATTAATTTTTTTTTAACTAAACATGATTAATAATCTAATAAATAATATTTATTAATATATAATATTAAAAATTAAAAATAATAATTATTTATATAGATTAATTTTTTGTTCCCTTCACAACAGTAAATTAATCGTATTGGACCACTCCTATTTTTTTTTTCTTTTTTCTGTTATCCCCTTAACCCTACGTCCCTTTACACGTGTTGTCAACAAAGTTATTCCCTCTTCATCTACCAGACCTTCTTCCGTTGCTAGATCGGATCCAATAACAACATATCGATTTCCGGCATTGTCAACGCTTCTAACACGACGTCATTTTCATTTTTCAAATTTTTTTTTTTTTTGCAAACTAGCCATATTTTCGCAGAATTTAGGGCGAGTTTGGTATTTTCCATTTTTGTGGCTATTTTTTTCTTTGGTAAAACATATAAATAAATTTATTATGGTTATTTTCTCATAATAATATGGTATTTTAGGTTTGTTTGGTATTTTTTAAATATTATATTTTGTAAAAATTGTGATAACATTAGATCCCATCCAGCATAGATCAATTAATGCTACTCGATTACTTTGAAAACGGTGCTCATATGGAAGTTTAAGTTTAAGAGTCTATCGGTTAGTACTTACTCTAGCTAGATGGCGTCGTTTGAGATCGTTACAACTTCGAATTAAGACATCTCAAAGCAGACCTCAAAAGTCAAAATATAGCGAGTTTATAATCTCACTGCCACTACTCACGCCATGTTAGTCATGGCACGTCCTCCAACTCATTTCTTCAAGTTCGTCCCTCCAGGCTTCTTATTAAATCTTGTGAGCATTTCTCTGCATCATATACAGGACCGGTCCAAGCTGATTTGAGGCTCGGGGCAAAATAAAAAATAAGGCCCTCATAACGATTTCTTTTTGTTAATGAAATACAGCATCTCGGAAAAAAAAATTAATTAAAAAGTTAATACAATAACACTCTTTATGCAATAATACTTACTTAAGTGAGGTGTAGTTCATTTTAAGATCTTCCATTAGTACAAATTAATAAATAAAGTTTCCAATTGCAAAGTGTGTAAAAGATATACATAAAACATGTAGACTAAGTTACAAAATTTTAGTAAAAAAAAAATACTAAATCATATTTAATTGAACTCTAGAACTCAAATTAATGAAAATACTTAATTGAATAAAGCCTAGATATAAAACATCGCTAATAACCAAAACTAATATTAATATATTTTGATCGGAATTGCTAAGCCAAACTACAAGTAGGAAACAAATAGAATACATCGTTGGGCCCTAGGCCTTACAAGAGAAATGTAAGAAAAAAACAAAGCAAAAAACAACCTTTGGCCAAATCGAGGTTCGAACTCTAGACATGTGATTAGTTAACAAAGCGCTTCATCCAAATCAACCACATAAGGTTTTGTTTAATTTGTTTGGCGTTATTTTTTTTATATTAGCAGAAAACTATATACATATATATGCTAATCATTATTTGAAGGGGCCCCGAGATTTGGCGAGGCCCGGGCGGTCGCCCAACTTGCCCACCCCTAGGGCCGGCCCTGATCATATATGTACAGCTTGTACATTTTTCACTTACAAGTCATTAATGTGCATAGTTTTGCAATATTCTTTATACATATATACCCATTCTTCTCGGATACACATTATGCTGTATATACGCATTAATTTTACAGTCGATTCCAACCTCTTTCTTGACGAACTTGAATGGCAAGAGATGCTCGGAAGCGATACTGAGACGTGGGCGTCGCGAATGGTCGGTAGACATTGACGACGGAGTTTTTGGTGACGGTTGGGTGAGGTTTGTGAGAGAGAATGGAGTCCAAGAGTTTGACTTTATTGTTTTCAAAAATCAAGGGTGCATGGTGTTTGATGTTATGGTGTTTGAACAATCTACATGCGAAAAACATTACCCAAATCTATTTGACGAGATGGAAGGAGAAGAACCTCTGACAGAATCTGAAACGATCCGTACACATAGTAAGCAGACTATGATTCATACATAGCTTGTTTAGTTTATAATGGTAATTTTTTTTCCATATAGCAGTTAATTCATGGGTTGTTGCTTTAATTTTGGTCGACATTATTATTTTTTGAAAGGACCGAAGAAGGTAAAAAAGCCAAAGAGGAACGATTATGCATATGAAGACGAAGAAATACCTCAAGTTGGTAGTGGCTGTTTCATTGGCAAAATGACACCTTATGTTATCAATAAGTCAAGATTGGTTAGTCATCAACCTCATAATAGGTCAAATGAGATGCTTAACATGATTAATGTGTGTATAGTACTTAAATTAAATTCTGATTACTTGAACAGGATTTTATGGAAAACTACTATTGGAAAAGCTTTTGTGTTAACCCCATAATAACATTAATCATATATACACGTTTCTACAGCATGTTCCAGTTAAATTTGCAAGATCAAATGGATTGATTACCCAGAGGATACACAGACAAGTGTATCTAACGGATGATACACGAAGAACATGGCCAGCAACACTCACGAAAACGAAAACAGAGCTTTGTTTAACTGGTTGGCACGAGTTCATAGTAAAACATCACATGAAAGTCGGAGACGTGTGTAGGTTTGTGCTTGTTAAAAACGGAGAATTGCCTGTTTTCAAGTGCTATAGTATGTATCTTTCTTTCCCTCTTCATACATAGCTATGTAAATCCCCTTTTAAAGCTCACATGATTTGCTTGTTTATTCAAGATATAGGAAAGAATTTAGTGAAAAATCATATTCAAGTAAAGGAGACTAGTTCGACTCTTAACAATCACCCATACTTCATTTCAAATCTGAAGCCTACTAGCTTCAAAAGATCATTTCTGGTAATTTTTAGAACCCATAATTCTTAAGGTAAACGAAATAAATTTTACATATTCATTTTAATCACTTACATATTGCGGTGCTTCTAATTTCAGTATCTTCCTGTTGACTTTTGGATACCAAATCGTTTAAAAGCAGGGGAAATGATTCTTAGAGACAATAAAGGTCGATCATGGAAAGTTGAACTGAAGAAAGCTAACGAGAGACTTTTATATATTGGACTCGGATTCACAGCTTTTCTAGTTGCCAATGGAATGAAGGAAGGTGATGCATTCAAGTTTGAGCTTGTCGAGAAAGAGGAGGACAAGCCTCCCATAGTCAACTTTATGTGTACGTTATTTTCTTTAATTTGGATTTAATTTTTTTCTATTCTTTGTGATTTGATTAAAAAATTACTTTCCATCCCAAATTAATGGTCCATTTTTTATTTTTAAATTTTTTTTCTTTAATTTTGATCTTAAATAATTATATTTGTGTTATATATTATTTGATAAAACGTATAACAACGAAAAAACATTTAAAATACAATTCGTTTATATATTTTGCATCAACTATTATCTATCAAAAACAAAAAAAAACAAAAATTAAGATCAAAGTTGAAAAATAAAAACTTCAAAAATCAAATATAAACAATTAATTTGAGATGAAAATAATATTATATTTGAACAATCCAAGACCTTGAATTAACAATTTTATTTTTTTGATCTTGCTCAGTTCTAAAAAGCAACCCGATTAAATTCCACAAACAAGCAAAATTTACACAAAAGGAAGGTTCCATTCTTTGTGAAGATGGCCGACCATACTTCGTTGGTGAACTGAAATCCTACAGCATAAGACAATCGATTCTGGTAATTGAATTTAGTTAAGTCATCTTTATAAGAAAAGAGGGGAATGAACGCTCACAAAATTTTGAATTGCCTTGAATAACTACAAATGCCTAATTTATTTGCATTCAATAATTTTGAAACTTTCGTACTTAAAATGGTGGTTATTGTAGTATCTGCCAAGCAGGTTTGCAAAGTCGAATGGATTAATCAATCACAAAAGGATGACTCTCAAAAATGCTGAAGATGAAAGGTCATGGATTGTGGATTTAAAGAACCAAAAGAACTCTAATTTCTATTATATAGGAGGAGCAGGTTGGAAAGATTTTAGGGTTGCGTATGGACTGAAGAAAGGAGATCATTACAAATTCGAGGTGGTCTACAAGGGGGAAAAGCCCATCGGAAACTTTTACATTAAAAAAAATCCGTTGAAGCTACTAGACTTCCCTGATGGGTATAAGTTGGTCAAGCTTTAAAACTTCTTTTCACATTTAACATTTGCGTTATAAAAAAGACTCTAATCATGCTCTTCTTAAATAGAATTTGCCATATGCCTTTCATGAAGGAGCAATAGAGAACACTACTAGAAAACTGGTTGATTTGAGATAGCCTAATTTGTTGGAAACTCATTTTAAGGACAGATTTAAACCTAAATAATTTGGTTGAAAAGCATGGGTATTTTCTACGGAAACTAGTATTGAGAAGTTGGATTTTTCTTTGAAAAAATTTATGTGTATCCTTTGATTGTTAGCCCCTCAAAATGTAAAGAGAATAAACAAACTGGTAAAAAATCAGCTTAAATAAGGGGAAAATATCCCTAAAAGACGGTAATGTAACCCGTCAATGAGTAAATCGGTGGAAATGAGCAACATAAAACAATATACAAAATAAAGTCAAAGAGGTAGAAAAGAAAGTAAAAGAATAAATAGCCCAAGAGAATCTTATATGTAATCATGACCGGCCATCGGAAAATAGAGTTATCGGTTTACTCTCGTTGTTGCGCCCTTGCTCTATGTTGACATCCCCCTTGTGGCCGTCATGTCCAGCTGTCGCTGACTTGTTAACAATGACCTCGAGATCCGTAGAGGTTGCTCTGCGGATCCTGTGTACACCTCTGCGGATCGTTATAATCCGCTAAGAAACCATCAAAAACGGGGTAAAATCGGAAAAATGGCAGTCAACTACCAATTCCTCAAAGATACTATAGATCCGTAGAGCCATCTCTGCGAAACCATTATAACAACGAAATTTTTTTTTGTCATTTAGTAGTGCTACATCATTTCCTTTGTGCATCCTTCCTCATAGTATTAAACGGATCCGTAGAGCCCCATCCGTAGATCTTGTAGTCATTTTCCAAAACTCAAAATTTCATGGTTAATTCCTTAAAACACCCCTAACTTTTGGTTATTTCATTAATTTTTTGAAAAAGAAATAAGTACACACCCTCTCTACTCCTAAGGTAAATATTCATAATAAAAAAGACAAATTGACTATATATTCACTCCTTTCTATGGGTAAAAGTAATTGTACGCCATGATGTCATATAAAGTTTATGATATAGTTCCAATATTTTAAATAATGTTATTATATGTAATAACTTTGAATATTGTTATTTTATGTTATGTTGATTAACTTATTATAAGTAATTAATTTGGTTGTTAATCAGACTATACCGTACTGGTAAATACATATGTTTTTGTTTGTAATATTTAGGTTAAGTATTCTTGTTTAAGCTTTTTAATTCATAAACCTAATAAGGAAATTTTTTAATTGTTATTATTTTTTTTTTCATTGTGTTTTTAGCTTTTATTGTTGTCAAAATAACTAATTGTTTGGCAAAATTTATTTGATAATTGTCATTTTATTTTGTTGTTTGTTACATATTAGTCAATTTCCTTATTGAGTATCCGTTAACATGAAAAAAAAATCCATTGTTACATAGTATCGATATGTAAGGCTGGAGGAAGTGGTTAATTCCTTAAAACACCCCTAACTTTTGGTTATTTCATTAATTTTTTGAAAAAGAAATAAGTACACACCCTCTCTACTCCTAAGGTAAATATTCATAATAAAAAAGACAAATTGACTATATATTCACTCCTTTCTATGGGTAAAAGTAATTGTACGCCATGATGTCATATAAAGTTTATGATATAGTTCCAATATTTTAAATAATGTTATTATATGTAATAACTTTGAATATTGTTATTTTATGTTATGTTGATTAACTTATTATAAGTAATTAATTTGGTTGTTAATCAGACTATACCGTACTGGTAAATACATATGTTTTTGTTTGTAATATTTAGGTTAAGTATTCTTGTTTAAGCTTTTTAATTCATAAACCTAATAAGGAAATTTTTTAATTGTTATTATTTTTTTTTCATTGTGTTTTTAGCTTTTATTGTTGTCAAAATAACTAATTGTTTGGCAAAATTTATTTGATAATTGTCATTTTATTTTGTTGTTTGTTACATATTAGTCAATTTCCTTATTGAGTATCCGTTAACATGAAAAAAAAATCCATTGTTACATAGTATCGATATGTAAGGCTGGAGGAAGTGGTTAATTCCTTAAAACACCCCTAACTTTTGGTTATTTCATTAATTTTTTGAAAAAGAAATAAGTACACACCCTCTCTACTCCTAAGGTAAATATTCATAATAAAAAAGACAAATTGACTATATATTCACTCCTTTCTATGGGTAAAAGTAATTGTACGCCATGATGTCATATAAAGTTTATGATATAGTTCCAATATTTTAAATAATGTTATTATATGTAATAACTTTGAATATTGTTATTTTATGTTATGTTGATTAACTTATTATAAGTAATTAATTTGGTTGTTAATCAGACTATACCGTACTGGTAAATACATATGTTTTTGTTTGTAATATTTAGGTTAAGTATTCTTGTTTAAGCTTTTTAATTCATAAACCTAATAAGGAAATTTTTTAATTGTTATTATTTTTTTTTTCATTGTGTTTTTAGCTTTTATTGTTGTCAAAATAACTAATTGTTTGGCAAAATTTATTTGATAATTGTCATTTTATTTTGTTGTTTGTTACATATTAGTCAATTTCCTTATTGAGTATCCGTTAACATGAAAAAAAAAATCCATTGTTACATAGTATCGATATGTAAGGCTGGAGGAAGTGGTGCTATCCAAACTGTACTCCCTCTTCCGCCATATAAACGTGACGTCATTTTTTACCACACAAGTGTGATCTCTTGCCACACTTTTATTTTCTTTTTCCTTTTTTGTTTTTTTAATTATTTTAATTTAATAAAACTTCTTTTTTAAATAAAAAATATAATTTAAAAAAAAGGTATTGGGGTGTTGATGTTTCTAAGATTTTTTTTTTTGCTAGGCTTTTTGGAAGAAGACATTTTTCAAAAAAAAATGGATGAAAAGATTGTGTAAATATTTGTGTAAAGGTGGTGTGAATGGTTAAAATGGTAATATATATATATATATATATATATATATATATATATATATATATATATATATATATATATATATATATATATGTTACCATTCCGGTGACTCATCGCTTCTCACTTCGAGACAAGAATTCCTCACGTCGTGAGGTTCAAAAGTTGACCATTGACTTGACATCTGTTGACTTTCTCAAAATAGCAATGTACTTTCATCTAAACTTCAAACGGTCATAACTTTTTCATATTAACTCCGCTTTCGACAATCTTTATATCCACGGAATCCTCTTAATCAACTCTACAACATTTCTTAACTATCTTTTGCTAAATAGAATTTCTAAATTTAATGTAAATTTCCATACTTTATATCATCTGCTCTCCTCATAAGATTCATATCTCGTAATTAACACCTGTTACAAAAAAAAAAAAAAAAAAGCCATGTATTACAAAAAAGAAGGCAATTACTTTGACTTCTAATAATCACCCATACTTTATTTCAAATATGAAGCCTTGCAGCTTCAAAGTGTCGATTTGGGTAATTCGTGTAACCCTTAAATCTTATGGTAAAACTAGATAACTTGTACATATTTATTTTAATCATATTAAATGTGTCTTGAGTATTTTGAGCGTTCTCATGGAGCATTTGAGTTCAATGGAGCAGTTACGTTCATAGAGCATGTGAGATGTGACAAAGAAATGGATCCCTCTTCCGTTAGGTTTAAGTTGTTGGCTGTTAACTTCTTTAAAATAACAATTTTACTCTTAGGGATCATTTTCACAGTTTTGTCTTTTACCAAACTATAAGAACCCTTTTTGCATACATTATTTTTTATTTCATTAAAATATTATACATTAACAAATATTCTTAATATATAATATTCTATATTAATAAATATTGTTTTATTGGATTATTAATTTATTTTAGTTAATTTTTTTAATTGCAATAATTCTTTTTTATTGAACTATTATATATCAATACATATAGTTTTTAACATTTAATATTTATATCATAATAGATATTATATTATTGGATTATTAATTTCCTTTATAGTTAATTTTTATAATTCTTTTTTTTTTTGAATTATTTTTTATTGGATTATTACTTTTAATTTATAATTTTCTTCATATACTAAATATTATTTTATTAAATTACTAATTTATTTTTAATATATAATACTAGTTCTTGTTAGTTTTATTGGTTTGATCATAAAGTCATGGGATACGTAAAATCGATGTCTCTCATCATCAAAATTGTTAGGATCATTGCCAAACACCTTCATTGCAAGTAGCTTATAATGACAAACCATAAGGGCATCTCCAACTCACCCTCAAACTCCATTTATTCCCCTATTTCTTCCTCCATTCTTCTCAAACTCTACTCCATTTCACTTCCATTTTTGGAGATATGAATAGTATTCCCCTATATATGGGAGAATACTATTCATACCTCCAAAAATGGAGGTGAAGTTTGGTTCCCAATTTTAGTCTCTCTCATTTTTTTATACATTTATAGTTTATTTTATCTATTAATTATAATTTAAATGCAAGATTTAATATTTATAATATCATGTTATATACTAACTTGTATTAATTAATCATAAATATAGAGTTTAACAAGTAGTGAGGTGTATTTGACAATATATATAAGTTATAAAAATGAAATATTCTAGGAATATACTTTTTGGGGTAAAAAATAGGGTAGAAAATGGAATAGGGTTAGAGATTAAACACTATTTACACTATTTTTGACTCCATTTATGGGGGAAAATAGAGATGGATTGGAGATGGTCTAAGGAAAACATCACCACTTATAATTGTTATAATGGTTTGTTCCGCATTATGTGGGATATGAAGGATTCCAGTGGATTATGAAGATGTTATTGCAGGTGGCTACTAGCGCCACTGGATGGTTGGTGAGGTTTCTGTTGAACCTCCCATGAAGGTGTCTGGAGGTGATCCCACTGATTTTTTACGATAAGAAGCAATGATTTTGCGTATTTCGACGACTTTGTTATGAAACTAATAAAATTAA